TATAATGATTGAGATGTAAAGCGTATTCGTAGTTTTCATTTTAATTGAAGACTGTAATTGCGATGATTCATCATGACTAGTGTCCACAAATAATTTTCGACTAGAATCCCCTCCCCCTCGACTGGTCGTTGACAATGCCGAGGATCCTGTGGAGCAGATGATCGAGGATGTGATTGTTGCATGAAATAATTATACCTAGCATTATTAGTCAGTTCCTTCCTCAAAACTCTATACCACGTAAGATGGTCATCGAAATTGCTCCACAGGACATGGCCAGATCCTATTAAATCAACAGTTTTGTTAATATTCAAACACATCATGTAGAAAAAGCGGAGCTTAACCATATTGGGCATGCTGATAACAATGTCTAAGGGATCACTAATTCAGAGCAAAGGATGCAGAGGAGTGTAGTTTGGAGGAAAAACATAATTGAAATGCCAGCAAATGTGAAACTTGTGAGTGAAAATAGTGCGCCGGTCGCTGCTCATGAAACCACAACTAGAATATGCTATTGGGCAGACAGGCAAATCGCATTGAGCAAAAAAGACAAATGACTTGAATAGCTCACTCCTCTTAGGTTGGCATGAGACAGAAAAAAATTAACTTATATGCGAACCAAACAGAATCCCACCTAATTTAGGACCAAAGGCTAGTTTAAAGGGCCAAATTTCATTCGCAAGTTATAGGTAAACCAGGTTAGATATTCCACAAATGGTATGAGTATGCCTCAGAATGCCAGTGAGTTTCGCCTAGCCTTGCCATCAAGAAGACAAGATCAGGATCAAGGTGTATTCACACGAAACAAAACAGCATAAAGTTGTCATCCCAGGGGATTCTTGGAAGTTCAGTTACACTTCATATATCCTATTAGAATAGTCAGTCATCACATTGAAGGGCCTCTTGTATTCATATGTGGGTAAAATTTACGAAGGCAGTCCAAAAATGATCTCATCCAGAATTAGAGCTCTCATGATTATTTCAGGTATCTCATTATCCAAAAATTATAGAAGTGATCTCAATTCAAGAATCTATTATGTCCATGCCATTAAAATTATTTTCTTCGCCTAGCCAAAGCCTTTCAACGAACACAGACACGAGAGCAAAGTAACCAGCCCCCAAATATTTTGTGTATTAGAACGTTATACGCGCATAGAGTATGGCTGGGGTAGGCGCCAAATGAGATAGGATTAAATCAAACGAATAGGCAAAAATATTTATGGGTATTATTTTTCGTTTGGAGTAAGTTTTGGAGACTACCAGTAGACCAAATATATGAGATATATTCGTCCCATTCCGTTAAGCTGATGAAGAACTGGTAGTTGAATTTTCTCACAATCATATGAGTAGACCGTACGTTTCGATTGAATTTTACCTAGCCTTGCTCTCCCAAAAGGTATTCTCATTCAGGCTAAAGGGAACCGTATTTTAGGCCTCGTTTAGGTTTTATCAACAACCCAAACGGGACTCGAACGATGACATTGCCGCGTATCATCCCGACACGTTAACCACTGCACCACATTGCCACGAATGCCTTTGGGTTACAGGGCAGATGGGAAGTTCAATAAAGGCCAGATCTCATATATATATATATATATATATATATATCACTTACTGGTAATCTCGAAACCCTATTCAAAACTATAAAAAAAATAGATAATGTCGTAGATTTTTATGACAAATATAAGCTTGCTTCATCGACAATTTCAGCATAGAATGTGATATGGGAAAATGTCTGGCTCTTCTTGACATTAACATCTGTGAATGCCCCATGACCCAAGGGCACTCGTAATAATGTGGCTTAGTGGTTAGTGTTGAATTTATGCACTACCAGAGTTCGAGTCCCGCTGGGGGTGCTGATGAGACCTCAGCGAAATTCAAGCAATAGTCCAGTTTGGATGATAATACCTTTTTGAAGCAAAGCTATGTGAAATTCAATGGAAACGTAAGGCTTACTCATATCATTGTGGGAAAATTCAACTACCAGTCCTTCATCACCTTAAAACAAAATAGAGTGAGTACTTTTCATATACTTATGTATGCTTGAAATAGCCTGCATCCCATTTTACATTGGAAGTCAATCAGAAAAGGATTACAGCACTCCGTTTGAACTTGGTAAAGGAAGCGAAGATATGAAACCAGGATGGAGTGGCCTCTGTTTTGGTCATGGTCTCCTTTTGCTGTACAGAAGTGGTTTGACCCCGCTTTGGCAAGTTGGTCGTGCTGTCAGATCGACCTAAATGAACCCACTTTGTCCAAAGTCGCCTGCTATAGTAGTTGGAATAATTTCCAAAATCGGACTATGAACTTGGTACATTCCTATATGCTTCGCAGGTAGCATCTGTGAGCCTTGTCAGTCTTAGCATGGGGCACAGGATAGATTCGAATAAGAGTTAAACGAAGTAGTTAGTGGATTGAAAGGTCCAAGTCATATCAGCAAAGGAGCACAACACCTCTTACACACGAGTTAGAAGTTGTAATAGCGAGGACGTAAGACACAAGGAGAGGGGTTGGGTAGATGTACCCTGAAAGGAGGAGGGGTGATGACACAACCGTTTGGCAGAAAGTTGGTAAATGGAAACATTTTACTTGTCTCTCCAACGGAGGACCCACCGGCGATACCGACTTTGAGGCCGCAAAATGTCTTGAAATGTAGCAAGTCCAGCAAATGAGCATGTCTAAAGTGGCAGAGGGCTCAGGACAGGGTGCGCTAATCCAGGTCGGCCTGACAACACGATTGGGCTGTGAAAACCGATTCGAATCACTTTTAATACTGGCATACCTTGCATTTAGTTTGGGAAGGCGGATGGAAGGGATTGGTAGATTGGCTTCACCGGATACCGAAAGTGGGTCGCAGTGGACTTTTGTCTGTTGAATTACACGAAGAAGATCTGCTCTCACCGTCCTACTACTTCGAAAACTCCGTGTCAAGCAAGAAAGGTTTAAGTTTTTGGTGATTTTTCATGAATAATGGTTTCTGGCTCTGAAGAGGTTCGTCACATGACCAATCCCTTCCACCCGCCCTCTCGAACGAAATGGAAGGTATGTCGGTATCAATTTACTAAGGAATTTTACGAAACCCAACTTCTCCTCGTGTTGTTGAGCTTACTTCCATTTCAAATGAAAGTGTGTGGTGAGTTTTCTTGATTCGTTTGCTTGATTTTTGTTGTGACGATGATGTCTTGCTCTGATGATGTTCGTCATATGATAGACGAAAGCTTAGCATATT